ATTCAACTTTCGTCAGCATGTTGAGGTACAACTTCCTGGCACGGGTTTTGGCGGACTTGTTCTGCTTCTCGTCGCGATTAGGGGCCTTTTGTACCTTGAACGTTCGAAGCCCAGCCTTAGTTTTGGCCTTCTGGACAAAACTTCGGTTTAGGTGCAGCTTCTTAGCCACATCCCTAACGGAGGCGTTCGGATTTCGGTTGAAGGCCCCAACTACGCGGTTGTGATTTTTGGTGTTGTATGGAATACTTTTTCCTTCACTTCTGGGCTTCCGATCGGTGGTCAACCGTTCCTCGAACCGCTTAATCACTCGCGACACCGTGGAATTCGCGATTCCCAACGTTTTAGCGATGGAACGATGCGAGAGATCCTTGTTCTCGTGATGAATGCGCAAGATTTTATCACGCACGAGCTGTTCTTTCGACTCCATTTCCGCGAGTTTTGATCACAGGACTTTAAAACTTGCAGGATGTAAATAATGCACTATGAACTAAATCCACCCAAATTTTCATTAAATTCTACCCAACGGTTAAAAAGTTAGAGCAATTTCATAGTGTGGCAATTTCATCGTGGACACCCTTTATGTCGATAATGAAGAGCAGTTCGTTTAATAAACATTGTAAAATTTTGCTTTCCTAACAATAGTTTTCTTGAATCAACTAAAGCATAGTTGTATCATAGAGGTAACTCTAAGACCACTGGGTCCCGAAGAAAATCATTATTATTTTTGGCTCACTCAGTACCAGAACAACGGTCCCAAGCAGTCCCAAGCTATTTCACTCACCCCTGCATGTTCTGCATGAATCCACACACCCCTGATGTTATCTGTCAAACTTTCATAGCGAATCAAAACAAACATAGTGTAGTAATAGAATTTCAACTAGAATAGGGTACGTTAATCGTTTGCTTGGGACCAATAGGCTACTAAAGTGGTGAGCCAATTTAAAATCGTTAGTTTCGTATTGATTGTTGGTTGTATTTTGAAGTTTGACGTTTGTTCATCTACTGAAAATATAGTTGAGCCAACCGAGGAGCCAGCTATGGACTATAGTTGTTGCCCTCTATATATAGTCAAATCAACTATAGTTTCCGGTTATCTCTAAAACAATTGAAGAATATAGTTATTTTGACCGGAAAAATAATTGAGTCTGCTATAATTTGTTCTCCGTGCTCCGCCCATCTCTCCCTCTGAGTATTTCTTATCTTAACTCCTATATTCATCCCATTGATGTGAGCTACGAAGAAATTCTTGATTGCTGCCTCCGTAAGAAATCTTCAGAAGAAAAGATGAGCGGAGAGAACTGTCAAAATCTAAGCCATTCGAACATTCCCATTAGATCTTTTCCGAGGATTTCTTATTCTTACTAAATCATATTTGCGAGTATTGTAATATTGTATTGTAAGCAAATAGAAATTCAATCACCTTAATTTTTTCTGTGCTTCTAAGATTGAAATAGTTTTTAGAATCAAAAATAATATTGTAATTCTATTGATTGATCGATCTTTGTTGGTTCATTGAGATGCACTCAATTATTATTTTGCAAGTACATATTAAATCGAATAGAAAAGGAATGTGAAATGCTAGCATCTAGCCAGGGTTGCAAGCAGTGGTGGGACGAATAATTCTCGATTACTTTTTCGAAGGGACGTATCAGCTTTTGTAAACAATGCATTTGATCGTCGAGTAAGCGTAACTGGTAGCTCGCCTACGCACACTAACACCAACAATCAATACGAAACTAACGATTTTGAATTGGCTCACTACTTGACTAGCCTATTGGTCCCAATCAAACGATTAACGTACCCCATTCTAGACAAAATTCTATTGCTACATTATGTTTGTTTTGATTCGCTATGAAAGTTTGACAGATAAAATGAGGGGTTAGTGGATTTTCCTATGTTTCGAGGGGTGAATCGATTAGCTTGGGACCGAAGAGAGTACCAGAGCTGAACCAAAAAGTTGAGCACGTTATTTCGGAACCTTCTAGTCTTAGAGTTACCTCTATGCTATAATCACAGAGAACAGACGTTGAGACCCGAACAAAATTTTTGTAAAAACTAGTGTAAAGATTCCTATTCGACTTAAGCGCTACTAACGGCGACTTCCCCACTTAAAACCCCTCTTTGACAACCTGATACCAATAGGACCAATAGGCTAGTCAAGTACACACTTAGATTTTTTCGCCGAGATGGGCACCACCGAGCAGCTCGGCATTTTATTTTGCTGGATCTCAGTGAAAAACATGCCGAGATTCAGCTAACAAACGGGAATTTTGCCGAGATCTCAGCTAACAAACATATTTTTGCTGAATTTCCAGCAAAATAAAATGCCGAGCTGCTCAGTGGTGCCCATCTCGGCAAAAAAATCTAAGTGTGTAGTGAGCCAATTTAAAATCTTTCAACCAGTGAGCACTCGTGTTTATTTCAGTTACCGTGGGACGTAATTTGTGATTAGTCCCGGTCCCTTTCAAATTGTATCATTATTTATGTATGGTCCTTATATTTGAAATGACGTTTCAAATTCATCTAGTGATGGCCGAGTTTCATTCAAATAATTCTTTGTTTTCACCGGTTGCTAACACCATACACACCGAGGGGGACGACTCTATCTACGATGCAGGAAATATTGTGTTTTGCTGTGGCTAGCTGCGCGTACGCTGAGTAGATAGAAAGAAGATTTATCACGATTTTGAAGATTTCCTGCAAAAAGATGATGCGCGATGCAAGTAGATGCGAGAAATGAAAGAAGATTTTTCGAAGATTTATTCGCTAGTGTGAGATTTTTTGAGCATCTAGAATTGAGATTTAGATGTGTCGCCCACCTCGATACACACTAAGATTTTGTTTCCGTGTTCGGTAAATTTTACCAAAATCAGAATAGCTGAACGTTCGGTAAAACTTTGGCCTTCATTTAAAGGCTATTGAATTTGAAAATAATATCAAAACAAAACATGTTCAACCTTGTTTAAATGATCAAATCTTGTCATTTTAGTGGAGATTTAGTTTCAAAGTAGCTGAAAAGCAATTGAATTGAATTATGGTGCATGAAACTGATTGCAGCATAGTGACGCCGGGTAAAAATTTTGCACCTACTTGTACACGCTCAACAATGATTGACTGTTCAGTAAAATTGAATATGAAAACTCAATACTCTATTTGACTGAGTCATTCACCGTAAATCTGCTATTTTACGGAAAATTCATCAATTTCTATTTCCGTATTCAGTGGTTTGTTGCAAAAGCTACTGAACATCAGTAGTTGTATTGAGAAGACCTGAATGTTCGCTATTTTTTGTGATTTACAGTTCGTAAACTATAAAAAAAATTACCGAACAGGGAAGCCGTGCACACTAAGATTTTGTTTTCGTGTTCGGTAAATTTTACCGAAATCAGAACAGCTGAACGTTCGGTAAAACTTTGACCTTCATTTTAAAGGCTATTGAACTTGAAAATACTTTCAAAACATGGTCAACCTTGTTTAAAGGATCAAATCTTGTCATTTTAGTGGAGATTTAGTTTCAAAGTAGCTGAAAAGCAATTGAATTGAATTGCATAAATTTTACCGAACAGTTCAGCTGTTCAGATTTCGGTAAAAATTACCGAAGTCGGCGATAATTTCTAAGTGTGTGATTAAGTGTGTGAGAACCAACATTTGGAACAAGTCTTCCCTGGTTTGTTGTTTCTGAGTTCTCAAGAATTCATGCAGGCAAACGACGCTAAATATTATCAAATTTCCAAGAAATGCCTGCCATTCAGAGATAAGGGCTGAAAAGTTTTTTTTTTTGGGTATTCCCAATTCGTTCTATTTTGTGATAGTGTTTCGCCGAAATCCGGCTATCTACCATTGAGTATGCTTTCTCACATAATTTCTCCAATGATGTCGACCGACCCACTACAGAGACTCTGTTACGCTGCGCAAAGCGAACCTGCGCACAATTCTCGCGTCACTTTTCAAATAGACCAATTTATAATATCTACCATTTTAGACAGATTATTATTTTAACTTATTTTTACAATACAGTTTGCAATACTATTTTTAATGTAGTCTGTAAATAATAACTTTGAAAATTCAGTAGAAACGGTAAAACTATAACAATACAGAAAATAAAACCACATAGAACGCTTCGACTAGTCAAGTTGTACATCGGACATGTTACATTGGACGATTTTTCTCAATGACATAATCAATGAGTGTTACATTTGACGTTTTATTCTACATGATACTAGATTCCCTTTCACAGATATCATAGTAGAGTACCTAACTTTAGATTGGTCCCGCCGTTAGAAAATAAGCACCAATCATGTTAGGCAGTCCGAATGACCGAAGTAACAATCATGTCATTTCAAACTGTACATTGGTCAATTTTTAACCAACGATTATTTTAAATAAATGAAAGTAAATTTGGATGGGTTTTTTTGTGTTATACACAATGATAGAAGAGCAATAGTTTGTATCGCTTAACTCGTTTTGTTCACATGTGTTACTTAGGACCTTTTGTAAAGTGACGCGAAAATTGTCACAATGAGCGAATTTAAAATCGAAGTACTCTCTTCCTCTCTTGAGGGAAACACAATCTAACAGCTGGGCCACCAGCAGAACTCTAGTAGTCTTTAATAGTATGCTGGTTCACAGCATCTGTTGATTTCACACAGTGCTCCTTCCATATTTGCGGTTTCCAATTCATACGGTGTAAGATAGACTTACGGGCCTCCCTTAACTCAGTCGGTCAAGGCGTAGCTATAAAGCAAAGCTATGTAGCAAAGCCAATTGGATTAAATACCATTCTAGAGCGGTGCCATTCAACCATCCTAATGGTGCAATACTGTACTACACTACGCCCATTTAATTGTCTACAGTCACAATCGTTCGCTTACTAGTATGAACGGGTTATACACTAAGTCTGCAATCGATGAATAATAATACTCAGATGCAAATTTTATTTATAAAAACCCCTATATACAAATGCATTTCAGTTAGTGTCGGCTGTGAAAGCAACTGGCGAACGACATCGTTCCAATTCGGGAACCGGCGTGCGACCACTAGACTAATGAAAGCGCGCGCATGCTGTTAATGGGTGGAATCAAGTTAAGACAAAAAGAGTCCACCAACGCAAAAGTGTTCGACGGGATATTACATGCTATCGTGGCAGTCAGTCATAGAAAAACGCGAAATTGGTGAGGCGTCATTATTATTACAATAAATCAAGCTTCTCCACCGGCGATCTGATAATGACCGTTGTGATGAGGTGTACGAAAGGTTAGAAGTGGACAATGTTGGTGAGTGTTTTCGTTTTGACTGTGTTGGGTACTGTGATCGGCGAAAAGAGACCTGCTGGATGTAATGAAAAATACAGTGACTACGAAAAGGAAGCGTTGATATTAATCGTCCTCTGAATGTTGTAGATCTGTTCTATACAGCGAGTGTGATCAATTTGGACTTGAACGAAACGTCCTACACGGTTGGATGCTCACTAAACTTTACCAGCACTGCAGAGAATGTGAGCAGCCGCCATCTGGCGCTAAGCAATTTGAAGAGGGTACCGTATGAAACTAAGGTATGATCGCAAGTCACTGGTGCTGTAACATTGTATCAGCACTACATTCACTAGCTCCACGGTTGATGAAAGCAACTATCTCTTTTATATTCACGCAAATTTTACCCAGTTTCGTAAATAGGGGAGTTACTTAGAGCTCTGAGTAACTCCACTTTTTACCAAACTGAGTAAATTTTGCGTGAGGAAAACAGAAATAGCAAAATAATTTTACTCAGTCTCTATGGCCCATGCATTAATTATGTTACGCTAAATCGAGCAAAAAATTACCACCTCCCCCCCCTATCATGACGTTTTTCCTATACCTAATGCATTGCTTGTCACAAAATCTTAGACTCCCCCTCCCCCTTAGAGCGTGACATAATATATGCATCAACCCTAAGTAACTTTCATCGGCCAACAATGCACTATCAAAAACGCAAAAATTTCACGACAAAAATCGATATCTCGAAAACTATGCACTCTAAGAGCTTGATGTCTTAGAAAGAGTTTGTCTACAAAATAAGATCTTCCTTTTGGCGTAGGTGCTGACTAGGGTGGTCCTCTTGTTTCAAAATAAAAAATCGTAACTTTTTATTTATATGTTTTAGGGGAGTACTTGCTTGTACAAAAACAAAGATTATTTTTTGTTAAGCAACTTTGCCGAAAACATCAAAATTCTATCTCATCAACCCATAGTTCTATGGACGTTTTTTTCTAAATTCAGATAGGGTGGTTCTGAAAAAAAAACTGTTTTTTTTCTAACTTTTTTCTTTCTGTTTTATTCTGAGAGCCATCTTGAAAGAACTTCAGGACCATGAGAGGACGCATCTTTTGTTGGGGATTGATAGATGTTGTTTTACGGATGTTATTCCTGTTTTTTTTTTTTGTAACAAAACTCAAGTTTTCCAGGACACTTTCCTCCAAAAGGAGCAAATATGAGCAAAATTTCTAGGCATATTCTGAAAGAACATGGTTCTGCCCACAAAACCTATAGAATATTATCTGTACCCTTTTGTAACCTTGATGAGAAAAAGATGATTGAAACTAGAGATAACATTGGTTAAAAAGGACCAAAAACAACCCTACAGGGCAATTTAATTTTACCTAATTCAATTATAAGACCGGTAAGCGATTAACCACGGACCATATTATGCATACATTTACATGATAGTGTTCAAATATATAAGTGGAATACAGTGTAATAGCAGGAGCATCCATTGACACTGATATACAGCAAAAAATTAATTTTGATATCACATCAAAGCGGATGCACTTCAATCGTGTCAAAAATATGGTGTAATATTACTTGCCAAAAAGGACAAAATTATCGTTAATACAGTGCATGAACTGAAATTACGCTGCTTTTACTGCATTTGTTTCTTTTTGTGGCCATAAAAATTACATGAGATTTTTGACATGATTGAAGTGCATCCTCTTGGACGTAATATTAAAATTTATTTTTTGCTGTGTAGCTAGACCTTGCTTCCTTTGTTACTTTCAACGTAATGAAAATTTGCTTTTGATTTACTCTTGTCCGCATCAAGGTGATTTTTGTGGGCATTTTCCAAAGCTTTCATGAACTGCTCCAAATCGCCCTTGTTGGCTGCTGCCACGGCTTCTGTGTTTAGCTGAAATTGTGATACGACCGGTCCCAGCTGTCCCTATTGCAGGGCATTGGAAAACATGGACAGCGCTTGTTGGAATTGCGGTGAGGATAGGGTTTCCTTGAGTTGTTGTTTATTGTTTTCATCGCCTTTGATGTTACACATAGTTTCCATTGAGAACGCACGCATATTTTTCCAATAACAAAATTAATGATTTTTATCTGAAATTCACATAACATTCATATGATCGTAAAAATTCTATGTAATAAATCACATAGATTTCATTGGACACATAAGGTTCATGTGATTTTGTAGTGCGATTCACAATTATGAAATGACATGAAAGTTATGTGAAGTTCTAATGGATGTTTTCCATTGGAAATGTGATTTATTTTTTGAGTGTAGATAAATGTTCCACTACACTAATAAAATTCGACACATTTTTATTGGTGAATTTCCTTGTAGGGTTCCACATGATTTTCATGTGTCCACACATAAACAGAATCCACTCAGAAGTATACATGAAATTTACTAGACAAACACAAACACATGAATTTTATGTGTACACATAAAAAAAGATAAGATAAGATCAACATTGCCTCGCTGTCCGGCACCCGCAGTACACTGAACTAAAACATCCGCAATACTTCGACTGATTATTGTATTGCTCGAGCCCTTTAACAATTTTCTGTCGAATTTCGGATGATTTCCTTATGGTTGAATTCGTCATTAACTGATGAGCATCCATATGACTGTCTTCCAAATAAAGGATGATATTAATTTGAAAATTAGCTGTAAAACATACTGGGCTCAGAGGACAACAATTTAAGGATAGGATGACACGCAAATGCTTTAGATTAGATTATTAATATGATTGTTGACATTTCCATATTGAAAAGCCATGAACAGACATTCATCATGGATACAAAAATGTAGTGTTGGTAGAGGAAACTTCCTCCACCACGAAATAGACAATTTACGGTTTCCACGCTTTACGTTCGTAACACCTCGACAGAATTATTTACATAATCGTTTTGAATGATTTGTGTTAAGGGGCTGAACCAATACTATATGCATTTCAATTTAACACGACTATCATTCTGCAGAGAGCATTACCCAACTAACATTTTCAGCTTTGTAAGCCAACTTTTCCAGCATTGTGCTGTAAAGTAGCTAAAAAGAAGCTGCAGATACAGCTACAAGCAAAAGCTAGCAAAATAGTTTTGGAGAGCGTTTACTCAACATTCTCACAACCATTATTCAATTTGTCAGTCGCACTGAATAACATCAGCCAATAAACGCTAATGTCACCTCTATACACACACTACCCAACTTTCAACTTGTAGCTGCAAAACAAAGCTAATAAAGTGAATATATAACTCATTTGATGGCTTCTACACAACCAACCACTCTTGCTGAATAACATAAACATCAAAAGTGCTTTTTCAACAACTAAACAACCTGTACTCAGCTTATAAACTGTGTTAGAGCAAATTCGGAAGCATTCTTACAGTCAACTAGGTTTATTTTTAGACGTGTGCAGTTTTACACCTTTTACTCTGCTCTTTTATAACTAGTCGAGAAAATTGATTCATGTGTACTATTATGAAGCCTCTACTCAGCGATTTTGTTGTAGAAGGGAATGTTGATTTGTTTACATAAGTTCAAAGTGTTGGCGTAGCAGAGTTGGTAGTGTCAACGTTTGCCAATGAGGTCGTCTGGAGTTCGATTCTAGGTTCCGGTGCAGGGTAAATAATTTGGTGATGATTTGTAACTAATTTCGATTAATTTGATTCACAGCAAAATAAACTCAATAAATTCCTTCATAAAAAAGCGTAAACAGTATTTAACTCGGCTTCAAGAGAAAGCTGTGTAGTGATTATTGGATAACCGGGAAAAGGTTGAATAAGCGCCTTTCAAGTTCACACACAACTAAACAGCAGGATAACAGCTGTATAGAAGCGTTAATGGATATGCAATAAGAGCTTCTCCCGACCGTTCCAACAGCCATAAGTAGCTGACTAATACCCCGTTCACATTACAACCTATATCACGTAATATAGGCTGTCTTGCAATGAGCACTCATACATAGGATTTCCAGTGAAAACTAGATGTATGAGTGCTCATTGCAAGACAGCGTATATCACGTGATATACGCTGTAATGTGAACGGGGTATAAGTTCGCCAGATTTGCTTGTATAGAGGTTGAGTAAAGGTTTCCTCATATCGTATAACGTTTGAATACAGCTTGAGACTGTATAAATGAAATGAGTAAAGCGTTTACATTGTGAAAATTGTTAGTTGGGTAGGCATTCCAACTGAAGGCCCTATCCTTTTTCATAACAATGTTCATCCTGTATTTGAGTGGAAAATCAGTTGCAGCTATCATTCGAAAGGGCGATTTCGATGTTTCGATTAGAATGGTATGAGGTTTCATTCGAACAAAGGACGGTGGTTTGGTACAGTGTAGTTGGGCTCATTCCTGTCAGATAGTTCTGCAGATCCGAAAGCAGGACACGGTGACAGTTCAAATCGTATTGGCGTGTATTGAAATCTCGATTGAGCTTTGAGTTTATTGTTGGACGAATCAATGAGTAAAGCTATTTCCTTAAGACTAAGGAGGGACACGCAGGAAAAAAAAACTTAAACATTTTCCCTAGCTATGATCAACTATTGTTGAACTTCAAATTACTCAATCTTATAAATGTTTGAAAAAGCTGTGGAGTTTCTTTTTGATCGCTAAGGTCATGAAAACGAAGGATGAATGTCGTCCTGATAACAACGAGATGAAAATCACTTCAACTAAAGCTTCTGCAACGATGAGTGCACTTGCTAAGCATACGATCAGTAGAATTGTGCATCACAATTATTCATTGACTGAGCAAGCAGATGAAGGTAAACAGAGGCTACTCTCTTTTCAACAGTTGATCTTCATTTTTGTTTATAGCTATCATGATCTTTTCTTACGGGATGGACGGAACCACGGGACAATCTGTATATAACCAAGCCGATGACAAAGGAGAAATGGTAGACGATCATTCCTTTTTTACCGTAACCATGACTCCTAGCATGGAAAAGAAAATGTAGAAAGGTCTTATTGGAAAACGATGCACCACAATCGGTGCGATCAGTAAGACCTGTGGAGTATGCACGCTTATTCTGGTCAACTCAAAATTGAGTCGAATGTACTCATCTCAGCGGCAGGTACGGCTACTCAAAATTGAGTAGCCTTATGTTGACTCACTTTTGAGTAAACGACGTTTTCACGTAGACTGAGTCAAATCCACCCGCCGGTATTTTCAGTTTGTTTTGATTTTTATTCAAGGAAATGGAAATTGCCTGCTCCGGATTCATTCTGCTGGAGCAGAAAATGGTTCAACACCGTTTTCCTAAACAATTCGTACTTACCTGAAGGCA